CTCTCCAATAATGAAAGAAACGAGGCGACCGTACAAGCCTACCACTCTACTAGGCTCAGAAATGATCCAACCTCACAACATCGATTGGCCCAGGGCCTTTGACACTATCCAAAGCAAAGACGGGTCTCTGGCTACCGGAACATAAGCAAGATACCCATGCGGCGGACTTTCACTTACCTCAATGCATCTGGCCACCATAATTGGTTTCTCCCGCGGTGGTACAAAATCAAATAGTAACATCATAGTCCTCAATAGCCTCAACCGCCTCCGGCTCGCCTCAAGTTCAGACCTCCTTTTGCTATGAACAGCTATTGCAAGACTCTTTATTCCGTTGTACACCTCACACGTCTACACCATTATACGGGGCTAATGCTTCCAAATTCTTTAGAGCATGACAACAATGGCTGCCACAACTCGAGATCATGAACCGGGAATTCTCTCGTCGGATCTCAACTGCCTCGACACATAAGCAATGACCCTGCCATCCATGCAATCAGATAACCGCACCAAGACCAACTACGGAAGCAGACTCACCAAATACTGTATCTTAGGCAGTCTTAGCCTGTGGGCAAAGCCAATATCGGTGCGTCAGTCAGAGCTGTTTTGGCTTCTGAAAGCTCGCCTCATCACTCATCTGACCATCTGAACATGGGCCACCCTTCTGGGTCAACTCTGTCATCGGGCGCAAATAGATGAAAACCCCTCCACAAACCGACCGATAAGTAACCTGTTAACCCCAAGAAACTTCCGAATTCTCAGTAGCTGATGCTGGTCAGACAGGCAATTCTGAACTGCCTCAATCTTCTTCCGGGTCCACCTGAATACCCTCTGCTGATACAAACATGACTGAAGGAATGCACACCGAACTAAGCCAGAATCGCACTTCGAGAAACTTAGCATATAAACTGACTATCCTTCGAAGTCTTGAAGAACCACTTGAGTGCTGCTCGTGCTCATTGCCGTCTGGTCTTGTTTTTCTGGGAGTACTATATCTCTTCAATGAATATCATCAGTAAAAGACTAATCCTTTTAGAACATGTGTGCCAAATTAGGTGCTCTACTTGAAATCTAGGCCATTTAGCATATACTTCACATTCTTCAATCTCAATTTATTGTCTAAGCATTTCAATACATGATTCATATTCCTTGCACCTTTTCAAGTTATCAAAATAGCACATTGATCACATTGGAATGCATCTTTCACAAATATCGGGTCGCAGCACCAATTCATGTAAAGCATCAATCAAAGCAAGAATCCAAGGTTCAGTCTTACCACATTTACACAAGCATCGATAGAGCTCAATTTCTAAAAGATGAGGTTTTAGCCATACATTCCTCGATATAGCATTCCTTACTCTTTACAAATTCTGGAACTCTTAGCACTTCGATCTATTGAATAAGAATTACTAATTAAATTGAGAATTAGGGATGAGATTGAGATTCTAGCTTGGTTCAAGCATATTATCAAGCACTAAAGGTGCATCATGATCTTAGGTCCCTTTTGGGAGAAATTTTATCATTTTATACCCCAATTGCTTTCTCTTTCGTTCACTAACTCCCAGTACCCTAAGGTTTGATATGCATGTAAGGAATCCATTCTTATACTCATGAATCACCTCACTAATTACCCCTTATAGCTAAGAATAGAAATATGAGCTAAGGTGATGGAGTCTTACCTCTTGGGATGAAGATCTAGGGGCCTTCACTTGGTTATCTTCAAGGATTTAGCAAGATTTTATGGAGTAATTTGATGGGGAGAACTTTCCCTCTCTAAAACCCCTCTCTCTCACTCTAGAAATTCTTAGGAAAATGCTCAAAATGAGCTATAGCACCGAATATATCGATAGGGGGTCGGGTTTAAAAATTAGAAATTAACTCTCCGATGTCGGGTTTGCTATAGCAAAACGGACCGCAAAACGAGAATGCTGGCCGCATAATGCACCGCAAAATCGGCGCCCAAAACTGGGCTACACTGGCCCAGTTTGCGACAGAAATGCGACCGCAAAGTCAGAAATGCGACAGGTTTTGCGGTCGCAGATTTGACATAGGATCGCATTTTTCCAGCCTTTGGTAATTTGATCATAACTTTGTGTAGGAATGTCGAAATGACGAACGGTTTGAAGCGTTGGAAACTAGACTCGAAGACCTTTCATTTGATAGGTTATCCATCACATAAAACCTTATACATATTTAGATATGCTCGTTCAAAGTATGGACTAGTGCAAGCTCATTTCAAATTTTAGCCTATTATGAACTTTTCCAATTTTTTTCTTAGACTTAGGCCTTTCCTTGGGCCCCAAATTACTTACCATAAGACTTCTACACATATTTACCAAATCCAATTGATGTACACCATGTTAATAGCACATAAAAATATTATAATAAGCCTACGTGGCACCACGAGATCCTAGGTTACTTAGCGAAATTTCCCGGGGCCTTACAAACAGTGTCATCTATAAATATTTTAAGTTCATGTATAATGATTTCTTAATAAGCACACAAGGTTTAATGCAATGATTTGAAGCACAAAAAGAAACTATCAAAATTCTTAAGCATGTAAAATTGACCTGTAACAGACACTGAACAATAGGCTATAAAATAAGACATTGTAAACATAGTTACCAGCACCAAATTTAAACCGAAAAATGTGCTCTAAAGAGAAAAAAGAAAACACTATAGAATAAAAATGGTGAAACTGTAGTAACAGAGATTATGTTTAAGCAGAGGCTTTGAGCTTCTTAGCGATAGGAAGTAGACAAAGATTTGAATTTGACAAGAGTATTCCAATCCTTTTGAAGGGTCTGTAAATTGTCGATTCTAATTTTTATACTATTTCGTGAGAAGCGATTGTAGAAAAGCTTTAAACATTAAATTTGGAGCAGTGACATCCTTCCCAAATAGGAAAATGTGGAAAATTAATGGATAAGTGATATTTGAGATCTTGTACTAGTTCTAGTACTTGTGCCATGAAAATCAATCTTTGTAATATATCTACTCACTCTTACTCTATGCAGATAACTAGTCAGAGATAACTACTCACTTAGTTCTTAGTAAGATATAACCAGCGCATACTATATATATATATATATATATATATATATAT